GTTTGTACTGTCTGATGTAGGGGTTCCCCAGGCTCACCCCTTGGGCCCATCTGCGTTTCTGTTTACACTCCCTCCCTTGGTTACCTCACCTTCAGCCACAGCTCCATCCACAGTCCAGCTCAGTCTCACCTACATTTCAATCTCATGCTGAACATCTCTATGTAGACACCTTGCCATGGCATTTGAAATTCCACAAGTGTAAAGCCAAATTTGCTATTTCTTCCCTAAATTACCTTCTGACTTTGGAATGAATAGCTCTTTTAGATAGGTCTCTTCCTCTCACAGACTCCAAACTTCTGAGTCATCATTCATGTTTTTTTTTTTCCTTTTACCTTATCTAATCAGTCACCAAATTCTGTGGGTTCTTAAACGTTGAAACTTTTTTGGTCAGAGCAGGAATGGAATCCCAAAGGTCTATAATAATTGTGTCAGGAATTTTTTTTTTTTTTTTAAGAGTAACAGGACGAACTTTTTTGGTCAGAGCAGGAATGGAATCCCAAAGGTCTATAATAATTGTGTCAGGAATTTATTTTTTTTTTTAAGACTAACAGGACTGGGTGCTTAATATAGATTTATTAATTTTAAAACTAAAATTGAAGGCATTTCTGTTCTCTAATCTTAAATGCCTGGAGTATCTGGACTATTGTACGGTTAGCTACCTTGGGTCTTTGCTTACTGAGTCACTCCCATTCCAGCATCTTGTATATAAATTCCAATTTAAGCTTGGGTTCCCTGCTTACAATCTTCAACAGTCTTCTAGTGCTTCTGAATAGTATAAACTGCAGAGGCCTTGTGTTTAAGGCTTTCTCAAATCTCTTTCCAACTTGTTTCTCTGCCTCTTCCTCCACGGCTCTAATTCCGCTGCTCCAATTCCATGCTCTCCTTAAACTAAACTCCTTACTATTCTTGGAATCAACTGACCTTTTCCTGACCCCAAACCTTTACTCATATCTTACCTCTTTTCCTATTTTTGTCACATCACTTTGATCACCCGTCATATTTGGCTGAATCGCTAGGCTGTGTGACTCCCCTACCAACTGTCATGCTTCTATCTCCCCTTTCTGGTTCTGGCATTTTCTCCACTCTTGTTGTGGCATTTTCATCGCATTTATGACATAAAACCTCCCTCCTAGACTGGTGATTCCTGAACGTAAGTATTAACAAACCACTCTCCAGTTTACTATACAGTGTCTGAGTTAGCCATCGTATGGTTCCCGGGGCAAGGGTGAGAGCCATGTTCTCTCGCTTTGCCAAGATCATAAACCTATTTTCTACTTTCTTTATAATTTTTTTTTCCTTTTTGTCTTTTTTCGTGTCCAGCAACTCTTACCTCTTTTCCTATTTTTGTCACATCACTTTGATCACCCGTCATATTTGGCTGAATCGCTAGGCTGTGTGACTCCCCTACCAACTGTCATGCTTCTATCTCCCCTTTCTGGTTCTGGCATTTTCTCCACTCTTGTTGTGGCATTTTCATCGCATTTATGACATAAAACCTCCCTCCTAGACTGGTGATTCCTGAACGTAAGTATTAACAAACCACTCTCCAGTTTACTATACAGTGTCTGAGTTAGCCATCGTATGGTTCCCGGGGCAAGGGTGAGAGCCATGTTCTCTCGCTCTGCCAAGATCATAAACCTATTTTCTACTTTCTTTATAATTTTTTTTTTCCTTTTTGTCTTTTTTCGTGTCCAGCAATGGATCGCAACCCTCAGCGCCGCGCCCGCACCGGACCGGGACTGGCAACGGGATCGCAGCCCTCAGTGTTGCACCCGCACCTCGCT